GGCGCGTCCGCTTTGCGCCCCCTCTGAGCGCGCACGCGCACGCGCACGCCCCACTCCCAACACTCACGCTCCGGGAGCAGACACCAGCCGCGCAGGCAGTGGCAGGCTAAGTCTTACGCCCGAAGCTCCATTCAGGCGGCCCGCACCTACGACGGTAGCCAGGCGTTCCTGGCGCCTTACAGAGCATGCTGGGACTTGTAGTCCGGTATTTCGTATGCGCTCTGAGAGAGTTCCCTTTGTCAGCTGGGAAAGGGAAGGATTACATCTGTCGGTCATAAAGCGACCTTTATTAAGGTCCCAAGGTGTTTGCTTATTTGAAGAAAGGTTAATTGGGGCACTAGAGAAATAGCCAGTTAACTACAACTCCCGGCATTCGTCAGGTCGGGGTGACGCACTTCCGGCGTCTGGCCTGTGGCGTGCTAGAGGCTCTTGGCCGCCGCCTCAAGGAACACGGCAGGAGGGTCGTTAACCTTCTGGGGTCTCTCGGGCCTGGTCAGCTTTCCAAGGTCGCTCTCCTGTGGCCATAGCCCTGGGAAGGAGGCTGTTGCGTTAACTTTAGCTCCTTATGGCCGCCTAGGCAGCACTGTCTGTCTCAGGGATTACAGGACTGCGCTTTCGTAAATTTCTAAGTTTCTTAGGAGATGAGAGTCGACGTTGTCCCTGGTGATGGCCACAGTTGCTCTGCACAGCCGTCCCCAGCTGTTGTTTGCATCAGGGTCTGATGACTCTGTTCTTTTGGTTACAGAGCACGATAGTTCTTTGCTGGGGCTTGAGAGACCATTTGCTGTGGTAACTGACTCTATACTAACGGTTATCAAACCTTGGTTTGCCTAAGAAACACCTGGTTAGGGGAGGAGGGTGCTTTTTGAAAATAGATTCCTGGTCTTCATCCAAGGATCGGTTCACTAGATAATACTGAGGCATCCTATGAGAAACAGTGTTGTGCCAGAATCAGGCAAGCTCTTGACCTTAACCTTACTTACCCTGAGTTTAAAGTCCTTTTGGATTTCCAAAGCTAAACATCGGTTTCCTATTCATTTTGTAATTGGAGTGGTTCACTAAATTCTCTCCAGTTAAAAAAGGCATGAGTTTTTAATGGGCTGTGTAACTTATCTAATGAGTACTCAGTATATGCCAGGCATTGTGTTAAGTACATTACCTAATGAATGTTATACTAACATTTAATCCTCACAGCAACTCTTGAGAGGTAGGCATTATTGTTATTCCCCGTTTGCAGACGAAGAAATTAGTTACAAGAGGATAGTAAATTGACAGGGTCTAAGCATCAGGGTAGAAATAAGTATAGTTTTACCACAAACAGCAGCTTGAATTGGTGTTAAAAGAGCCAAATGTGGAGTTAGAATATTGTTTTTCTAGCCTACTGTGCTGCTTATAAGTTGTCTTTAGCAGACTCTACCCTTTTGGGTCCTCAATTTATGCAGAATCTGAAATCAGTCATTTTGAATTCTGGTTACTCATCAGAGGCCCCTGGGATCTTCATAAAGATTTGGGAGGGGGGCAAACCCAAAAAATGCTGATTCAGAAGAACTGGTGTGAGGCCCAGAATTTTTATTTTTTAAGATGCTCCCAAGTGATTCTTAATTATCAGCCCAGTTTGGGAACCACTGCTAGATCTATAAACAGTGAACCACTTCTTAATATTTGTTGATTTTGATTGAGAGGGTGATTAAGAAAAGGACTTGAGGTTTATTCATTTTCAGAGGTTGCCATTGTTAAGGTATTTAAATGTACTGTCAAATTTTATCTTCTAATGAAATTTCATGCAGTCTTTTTCTGAAGTGAATACTTAAGAGAAAAATACCTTCTATTCATTTACAAATCTGGATTTTTATTTATTGGTTTTATCTTTATTAAGGTAAAATTAGTGGGAGTTACAGACTCTATAGATCATAGGTTTTAGTAACATACAGATGTGTTTGATTGCCGAATCTTTTAAATCTCAATAGTTGTCTGTACTTATTTAACAGAAATTCATCCTTGTTGCAGTAAGCAGAATGAAGACCAAAAGACATTCAGAAAAGAGGACAAAGGAAAGAGAAGTGATAGTGAACAAGCACTAGAAATACAAGACAGCAACAAGATTTGTGGAAAGTTTGGGATAGATGGAATCTATCATTCGATAAATAGTGAGTATTTGTTGGGTGCCAGGCATTGTTCTAGGCTTTGGGGATTTGCCAAGGAATATCTGAATTCCCAAAGGATGTGTGTGTGTGTGTTTCAGGGGTGGAGGTTGTTATATGGTACAAATAAATGAGCAGCATAATTTCAGACAGAGATAAGTTTATGAAGACAAAACAGGATGGTGGTGTGATACTTTGTGTATGTGTGAGTGTGTTTTGAGGGGGATGGTTGTGTTATTGGGTTGTCGAAGGTGACCAGCAGATAATATTTGAGCTGCTCTTGAATATTAAGGAGGTCAGCCATGGAAAACTCTGGAGTCAGAGCATTCCAAGACTAGGAAAATAGCCCTAAGGATGTGAAACAGAGTATTTATTGGATACCATGACTTTGACCAGGTGGAAAAGAGGTTGGTATAATTGGGAACAAGAATGAAAGCTGGTGGGGTCAGACTATGTAGTGACCGTCAGAGTTCCTGGAGGGAGATTAAACTAGGGAGGCAGGCAAGGGCCATACTACATAGGCCTTATAGGCCCTGGTTAGGGGGTTGTAGGGAGTTGAGGGCCATGGTAGGGAGTTGAATTTTATTATAAAGGTAGTGAGAAGCTTTCAGAGAGCATTGGGGAGGAGAAAGACTGCCCCAATTGAAGGCAGTGATCGTACAGAAAAGAAAACTAGTGTAAAGATTAGAAATCTCTTTTGTAGGTGGAACTGACAGGGCTTGCTGATGAGCTATTGCTTTGGCAATCTATTTCTTAAAGTATATTCTCTTCACATATTCTTTTTCATGAGTTGACAGCTATGTGGTGATAGGTAAGACTGATAAAGCTTAAATCTCACCCTCTGCCCACGTCTAACTATTAAATTTAAGAACGAGGGAAGCATAAGAAGCATGAGTAAAGCTGAAAAAATTTTTTAACAGTTGCTTAATTAATTTGGAAGCAAGAATTGAAAGAGCCCCCAACATGCATACACACACACATCTTTTCTTTTTATTTAATTAATTAATCAATTAAAAATTTTTTTATTGACGTCGCACATCTTTTCTTAACTCTGCCTGCTCATTTATATGATCTCTTCATTCTTTGGAAACTAGACTTGTATTTTCTTTCATCCTTCTTTCCCTGGCCTTCTTCTTTATGAGGACTTATTTTCTTCTGACTTTTTCTCAAACCTTTCTTCAGAATTCATTTTGTCCATCTCTTTTGATTTGAACCTGGTCAAAATAGTACAGAAGTACTGACATCCTCAAACGCTCAGAGTTCCTAGCCTACAGTTGCTTGTTTGTTTTTTTAAAGTGGGCGGGAAGGTTTCTTTTCCCCAATAGCTCTTGCTCCCTTACTCCTCTACCTGCCTTTTTATTTAGTATAGGACATGGTAAATGATAACAATTTTTCTACTTTTAGAGTAACTTAGTTAAATTTAATTATATTTGAAATATTTTAGGTTTATATTGTAGCTTTCCTTTCAGTTTTTAAGAAATGTTAGCATATATTTTTCATCCATTATCATGAGTGAACATCAAGTTGTAAGAAAAAATATAGTTGTGAGGTAGAAAAACTGGCTCTAAGCATGGCGAACATATGTATTTTTTTCATCTCACTTATCTAAAATTATTTACACCATAGATCTTCTAAAGTAACTCTGCTTCACTCTACTCTGATTTAACTTTGTGTGGTTATCTGAAATCACATTACTTTAGTGTGTGCGCTGTTCAGTTAAATATGTTAACTTCCGTAATTTGTAGTGTTCAGGTCAGACTTCAGGTGTTCACATTGCACTAATAAATTGCAGAGGTTGTGTGGTATAACTTTGTTTCCTAACTGTGTGATTTCATACACCAGTGTGTAAAGATTGGGATTAAGAAGGACTTTAACTGATTCCTTTATCTCTTCCTTGCCAGTGTCTTTTAGGCAATGGGAGGCAAGGGAGAAAGAAGTTTAAAATTAGGAGCAGGAAGAGTGAGGTTGAGGAGGAAGGAAAAAAAAAAGGTGTGGCTTTCACAAGTAAATAATGAAGAGAAGTTTTTACTATGCTCAGACTGAAGCACTGTCAAAGGCCAGGTATTACCATTTTTGGAGGTGATTTAATATTATAACACTCCACCACCACCAATTAGATATTAGAGAGGTTTTCTTCTTCTTTAAGTAGTACAATTATTATGAGACTCAAAATAGTTCTGAACTATAAATTAAATCTAAACACCCTTTACCTCTCTTAATTAACTTTTTCCCCAATTTCATGCTTTTTTGTTTTTCTTTTTCGTTTTTTCCCTCAAAGAAGACATCAGCTATCTCCACCTCCTCCGCTTCCCCATCTGTCCTTTTCCTCTTGGCTGAAAGAAAGATTTTTACTTTATATTTATTTTAATTAATGAATTTGAATTGCAAGTGGTGAAACAGTTGATGTTCATCTTCAAGAGGCAGTGAAAGGGAAAATCATCCTCTTTAACTTGGCAGAAAAAAACTGTATATTCATTGCTGATGCCTGCCTGAAAAATGACTGCGAAAGGGGTAGAGGTAGAGTTCTGTGTCCTTGCAGGGAACAGATGCCATAGCCCAGAATCAAGGGAAGTGAAGATGAGAAAGCTCTTCGGAATGAAATTGTACTTTCCTGGGAAATGCCTTTCTCAAGGGATGCTTAGTAAACATTGCTTGATGGTTTATGGTACATTGATCTAGGATCAAATTCCCTAGGAACAAAATAGCAGAATGCAATTCAATTGCTTGAACACTCTGATTAATAAAATCCACTACAAGTTTATCATCTTTTCCTTTTCAGTTGGGCAAGGCAAACAATAATTTGTTTTTTTAACCTGCTCCCTTGAGTGTTCATCTTAGAATACATTCTGGGACATTTGACTGACTTGAAGTAAATAGGGACAGTATTACCTGTGTTTCTTTGGAGGGGTGCCAAAAACCTTGTCCAACTAGATCCTCTGTTACAGCATTTAGAGAAAGTCTGAGAAATGACAATATAACTTAAAAGTGAAAAGCAGGAGTCAAGGAAGAAGGATAACAGTAGACTGGCAGGGTACCAGTTCTGCTACTGGCTCTAGCAATCTAGTATGTGACTTTGGATATATCATTTCACTTCTTGGAATCTCAGCTCCCTTATTTATAAAATGAAAAATTTAATTGAGGTGATTTACCACTTGCCTTCCAGCTTTAAAAAAATCTATGAATTTAAAAAATTATAATTACATGAAATTAAGTAATATAATTTTATCCTGTGGGATACTGCAGAGCATCACAAAAGACACTTTTTAAATGTATTTTTTAAAACAACATGTGACAAAAACCCTCAGTAACATGCATACAGTGATATTTGATTTCTCCTTTGTGTTGTCTCTACCTAAAGCAGATTATTTTGACACTTCCTGATATAAATTGAATAAAATGAGCAAGAGCTCTTTTTTAAAACAATGTTTACCATTATTATTAAATTTCCATAGTAATTTTTGAGGAAACCTTTTTTTTTTCATTCTAAGCATAAATTATCATGCAAAAAGAGTCCATATATTGTTGCTATTGGAAAAAGCAAAACATGCTTTGAGTTAACTACACATTTCAACAGGAACTGCTGCGGTAATTGACATCCAACATCACAGCTCCAGAAATTCCTCTAAGGCAGCAGAGCTTTAGTTTAATTAGGTAATTAGCCCTGGTCAGCCTGTAATGAATGTACAAGCAATTAGCAATGAATTTGGGCTGCTGAAACCTATTTTTCCTCTTTTGTGTTCCTTTGCTTTCATTAACAACTCTAACAACTGAACAATTTATATCTTCACACTAACAATCAACTTTATTATCATCAAATTCTTTGCAAGCGATAAAGCAATGAAACCTGACGTTGGTTGCACAACATTAAGTGATTATGTTAAGTAATGCCATTTATTTGCCTAGCTATCCTGCTGTTATATTATGTCAAACAAATAGGGCTTTTAAAAGCAGTGCACACTCCTTGTTGTTGATGATTGCTTTATTTGTGAAACCCAAGCAACTAGCAAGAGATGTACCTCAATTTGGAGTTCTTTCTCAGTGGCTTTCAGCAAACCTGAATGAAAGAAAACAGTTCCATAAATCCACCAAAAGCAAGACCTTCAAAAAATGACCTTTTTCTTTATCTTTTTCTTCTTTTTTCTTTTTCTTTTTTATCTTATGTTCGGAGGGGCTTGAGATAGAATTCAGTAAATGAAAGCCCTCACTTGGCCATCTTTTCCTGTTTGGGGACAGTTTTTAGTCTCATGGATGACAGAAGGAATCATTACAGTTTTCCTCACATTCCTCTGATATAAGTCTTTCCCATCCATCTGCTATTTGGGGGGAAATGGCAGAAAGGAAAAGAAAGAAGAGAGAGGAGAACAAAGGAAGAGAGCTTTCAGATGTGGGAGAACAGAAAGAAAGACGTGAAGGTCATTTTCCTAAGACTTAATATTACTAAGTGTTAATGTCAAGGAGACATTGGTGTTGCTCTGGATTCTGGGCATGTAAACTGAAACACTTCATTATATTTCAAGCAGAAATAGATTTTGAAAAATGGACATTTTTAAGTTTCTGTGAGCAGATTATAATTACAAAGAGATATCATTTGCCATATCAGAAAACAGTTTGATTCCATTAGAAATTTATAGAGTCCTTAATATACAGAGTGTTCTTATAAAAATGTTTTTCTGCTTATTAATAATCTAATAAGATTTGGGGGAATTAAACCCAATGTTAGAAAACTAGTTTAGCTAGTTAATAGCAGTTTGGGAATTAATTGAAGAAATATGTGGCTTACTATTTAAGCAAAATTAAAAATGTATAAACAGAATGTTTTTTTCTGATTGGAATATGAACATTGGCTTGTAATTTCTTATCTTGAGGCTTCCCATCTGGCTGATCTTGGAAATATTTCTTTTTCCCCAGCAATAACCAGCAATTAGAGTTTCAGAAATGCCAATTTTAATCAAAACTCTTATTTCCAAAATAGAAAAACTTTCATGAACTATATAAAGCCTCTTTGT